TAACACCGGACAATACTGTCATGACAATGAAGATATACCCCTACAAGAACAGCAAGAACGATAGAATACAAGATTGCGCATTCCCGCAGAATGACAATTGTGGCAACGGGTAAACAAAGAATATGGCGAAGAACAATGAGTTGACAGTTGTGAATTTGCAGTGAGAAAACGTGTTTTCTTCTCGATTCACCAATTTCTCAAGCTATCTTTGAATATAGCAAATTAAGCACTACGTTAACAAAAAATATACAACCACTCTTGAAATGTGTTCAAAAGAATAGGTCTTATTAATTAACTATTTAGAATTTTTGTGTTTGTATTGCAGGTGCCGAAAAAATGATATCTTGTCGCAGCGCATGTTTTCCTGCAGAAAGTGGTCGATGCTTGCTTACCTCCTTCAGTTCATTTCACCATGCAAGAACAGTGATAGTCATTTGATTGATCATGTGATACCCACTGGTGATGGAAATGTCCATCAAACACTCCCATAACGTTTTTAAGGCCAATGTGCAAAAAATGATGAAAACAATGGCGCGTATTCATAGTCCAGCATCTAAGTCGAAACTAACAAAGTTGCAACTTAAATTTAAGTACCAACTTAAAATTTACCTCTATTCATAGTCGCATTTCAGACTTCTACTAAGTAGTTTCGACTTAGTTTACGATATAGCAAAGCAAGTGTGAAAATGTATCGATTTTTCTTTACGATATTTTGGAAAAAATACATTTTTATTAAATAATGTCAAGTTTGATCATCCGTTTATGCAATTTTTATTTTCATTCCATGATTATGCAAAAGAATAAGGTATCATTTTCTTGTTAATTGGGTGAAATAGCCAGAACAACCGCAGTGATGTGAAGTCGATGTTTATCGAAAGCATGCTGTAAAACATACAAATAGTAGATATCTAAATGTTATGCACAAATTTACTTTAAAAGAACTAGCGTGAAACTGACTTATTATTTGAGAATTTATCTAAATTATTCCAATTATAAAATTGTGATGTAGCTTTATTCGAATTGTAATACGCATTTAATTTCATCTTCCGATTAAAATGGATCGATCTTTGTAAATTTTAATTTGAGATTATTCAATATTATCAAATTCACCCTCTACCAACTTAATTTTTACATATTTCGTCTGTTTTCCCTTAATTTGATAAAATACTTCTTCCTAGTTACGACTTAAGAGCGAAATACACAACACAAGCGGCTTGACAAACCAAGCGAAATTTCCCTTTGCTTCAAGCCATTTGTGCTGTGTATGGGGGTGTTTGAAGGTTTGACAAACCGCTTGAGGGAAATTTGAGCAAAAATCAAAATTTTTTGATTTTCTGGCCGCCATGTTGATGTTTGATCAAACCGCTTGCGTTGTGTATAGCAAAATCGCCTCATTCGCAACGAAATTTTCACCGAGTAAGGACGTAAGAGAGGAAAATGAAAGAAAACCAAAATATTTAGCATTGCGAACTGGAAGAAAACTAAAATTCTTTGCTTGAACGAGTCATGTTTGCATGGTGTATGGCGAAATGGGAAAAGTAGGTTTGAAGAATGTTTGACAAGCCGCTTGTGTGGTGTATTTCGCTCTTTAGTTGCAGCTGCAGCCGAAACTTAATTTTAAGTTGGTACTTAGCCAAAAAAGTCGAAACTAAGGCGACTATGAATATCTTTAGTTGTGACTTGGAATAGTTTCGACTTAGTTGAGTACTAAATATGACTATGAATATGCGCCAATGTATACATGTGATTTTTTATCTTCTTTCAACTTATGGTCTTATTTAATGGTCTCTTTTTAACCAACGCAAAATTTGCAAATGTGTTAGTAAGATAAATGAGAATGTGTTAGTTTCCATCACTCAATTCTTGTAGGGACGTATTAGTTGTCAAAAGGTTCTTTCCCTAAAAGTGTGTTTGCATTATTCAACTTTGCGTTCAACTCAGCGCAGGGTTGCACGAAAAAAAGTTCAATGGCTAAAAATATAAAAAATATGAAAAAATATCAAAATATTCGCCATAAAAAGGTGCATTGTTCAACTTTGCATCCAACTTTTGGGTGAATGGCCTTTCAACTAATTGCTTTCAACAAAGTTGGTCGCCAGCCAACATATAGGCATTCAACTTTTTTTTCGTGCAACCCTGCGTTGAGTTGAACGCAAATGTTGAACGCAAGGTTGAACAATGCAAACACTGCTTAACAATCCGGACCGTTATTATAGAATAAGCGAAAATTTTGCTCTCAAAAATGGAACATAATCCAGAAGTACGGGAACGCAAAAAACCGTATTTCGTGCCCAGAATTTGAGAAACAGCTGATTCGCGTTGTTTTTGTTTTTGTCACTTAAATGCAAACACTTGGAAATGGAATTTTTGTTTCACAAATTTGATTTTAAGTATATAAAGATTGAAAATGCATTCACTATTGCTTAAAATCACCAAGTTGATGCAGGCAGCATGTAAACACAAAACAGCTGATATGCAATTTGACACTTTATCCATTTTTACCCGGAGAAAAAGTCCGGGCTGTTTCGGGCAGGAAGAAGAAGAAACTTACGATCCAATACGTTCCAATTTTCGCTCTCTATTACCCATTTTGTTGAGTATGGGAATGATTTCTGGGCTATTTTGGGCACCCGCGGGATCCCGCGCTGCGTACAGGAGAGAACCTAAAATTGTTCCAATGGAAAAGTATTCATGTATTATACCATGTTCTGACCGACAACGAAAACACTTTGAAAACGAGTTTTGGGATTGTGGGCTGAAGGCTGTTCACACCGGCTGTTAGTGTTTTCGTTGACATTTCTTACATCTTTTGATTACAGTTTTGCTACACAAAAACAAAACCAAAATACTTTTCCTTCATTTTCTTTTCATTTCCGCGTAATTGTTGAACGCATGAATAATAATTTTTATTATACAAATTCTTCTATAAATCATGTCTTTGTGTTAAATTATTCTTTACCTTATGTGTACACACGTTGTCACAAGCGAAAATGAAGAAAATTTTAGAAAAAAGCCGCCACTAAATTGTTAAGCCTGGTTTTCACTATGTCAAATTCAGTCAAATCAGAGAAAACATATTTGGGGTGTTCAAAGTTCGTTCCAAATAGTGTCTCAAAATGTAGACGTCTACATTTTAAGACGTTTTCTAACCGTAAAATCTGTGGTGTTGTTATTTCCCATACAAAATTGGAAAACGACGCCGTCTACATTTTGTCACACTCAAAGGTATGTTTTTTACGCGTCTACATTTTGCAACCTCGCAGCAGGGTTGCATTATGGCAATACTAATCACATTTTTTTTATTTATTGGGCACGTTTTCTGTATTTGCATTTAATTTGAGCGCAATTTCTGATGAAAAAAAACAAATCAAGGAAAAGAAATAACAAATATTACGAATTGGTAATTAAGTTAAATAACTACAATTTTTCAGAAACAAAATCGAAAGGCGACATATAAAAAATGCACGCAAGGAAGAAATGTCTGGCAACACCAGCAAAGTTTTGAGACGATTTTGCGACGACTGCTAGAAAGGGGTGCTCACAGTTTGATGCTAAAGATGTCTCAAAATGTAGACGTCTAATTTGGAACGAACTGTGAAGACCCCAATTGTCAAATGGGATCAAAATGCGGTTTATCGATTCATTTTGATCAGGATAGGTCTTTAGTCGTGTACATGCGCTGCGAAATCGTCTATCTGTAATTTTTTGGCCCATAATTTCATCGGAAAAAGTATGGATAAAGGAGATAAAGTTGTGTCAAAATATGACATAGTGAAAACCATGATAAAAACATAACAAGGTAAAACCATTGAGAGGCAGTCTAGCGTTTGCCAACAATATAATTTTAAAATCAAAACTCAAACTCACACACACATTCTCATTCTCAATCTCAAACAACAACAATTGTGAACAATTTAATTTTTTTATTTTCAATTTTATATGATTTTAAAATGTTGGCAAACGTTAGAAAAAAATCATGGCCAAGGCGTATTTAACAAGGTGGTGTTGGCCGTATATAAGTAAAAAATTACACTAACAAATTATACGCTGATGTACATACTGTCATTGGTATGAGTTACAACAAACACATTATTGTGACGTAATGGCCCCCACGGCGAAAAACTCAGCTGTCGCCCCAACACCACCTTGTTTAATACACCTTGGAATTTACCTTGTAATTTTTTTTATCATGGTGAAAACCAGTCTTAAGCAGCGAACAAATGTAAACAAACGGCTAATGTGAAAATCACCCAACTTTTTTCCTAAATGCGATTATAACGGGCTACTGGCTTGCTGGCGTGATCTTGTATTTTTGGTTCCTGGCTTTAAAAATATCAGCTATGTAATTAAATTTTATGCTTTGGACGAAACAAAATTGTCGGAAAAACTAGCGAAATATCGAAATAAAACACTTATTTTAACTAGCCTTCGTGGCTATATGAATGTTTATTTCACTAGCTCGTTGGGCGATAAGTATTGCCTTACAATATATGTATGATGCTTAGAATTTAGTTGAGTTCTAGTTTTACTAATGACAAAATGCGCATGCAAGTGCGCGTTACCAAATTGGTGCCTTTTCCACGCTCAACTGAATTTTTGAATTCATTTTTTTTCGGTTGAACGCAGAGTCGTATTTTCGAGTTATGTATGTATCTATGCTTCATTTTCGAACATTTAAGGTCTAATTAACATTCCACGCCCCAGTAAATCCTTGTTGGGATTCACAAAATCCAAAGCGGCTAGCTTTGAGGATGGACGTCTGTAGCTCGTTTCTGTAACTTTTCTCTACCGATTATTTCTCTACTAGTAGAGAATATACGTCATTCTCTACTACTCATTAGCAGTAGAGAACAGGGCGGCGAACTCATATCTCAATTCGCCTTGGTAGAGAATTTTTACAGAAACGAGCTACTGATGACTTCGTTGCTTGTACGTACGTAGGCGCTTCTAACTTGCCCATCTTTGGCATAATTTACTTCAACTATGCGACCCGTCTGCCATTAGCTTCGCGGCAAATTCGAGTCACACACAATGACCAGTTGATCTGGCTTTAAGGGATTCACGTCCTCTTTCCATTTTGGACGCACTAACAATTGTGGCAAATATTCGTCTATCCACCGTTTCCAAAAACGATCTTTTAGATTTTGGCTGATTCTCCACTGCTTCCGCAAACAAATATTCGATTCGCCATCACCTGGTGTTTGAGTTGACTTTACGCACCCCAACAAAAAGTGGTTGGGTGTCAACGGTTCTTCGCTGTCGGACAATAGAGGTATATCAGTTAAAGGGCGACTATTGATGATGTTTTCAGCCTCTATCAAAACTCTGTGGAAAGTTTCCATGCGTGCCGCTTCATCTTTTAAGACTCGATGTAATATTCGTTTTACACATTGTACCAGGCGTTCCCAACATCCGCCTGCGGATGGATTAGCTGGACAATTGAAATTCCACTCGAAGTCATCTTTAGAAACTTCTCTTTGAATTTGATCGAAGTCGAAAATTCGTTGGTCTCCTTTCATTTCTCGTTGAGCTCCGATAAAATTAGTGCCATTATCACTTCTGATGCGAACGGGAGCACCGCGACGATTGAGGAAGTTTCTTAAACAAATTATAAACGCATCTGCGGACAAGTCTACGGCTACCTCAAGATAAATGGCTCTAGTCTTCAAACATGTAAATAATGCTATCCATCTTTTTTCTCGTCGGCCACCCACGGTTACGAAGAATGGGCCACAATAATCCACGCCAGTGTATGAGAATGGGCGCACGTGTGGTGTTAAACGGTCAGGTGGTAGTTGACCCATAAGCGGTACAGCTGGCTTGGAGTTTTGGGGGATGCATACTGGACATTTCTTCTTTACTGTAGAGAACAGAGAATGAGCTCGTGGTATCCAGAATCGCTGCCGCATTTCATTTATAGTAAGGTGGCTGTTTTGGTGATGAACTTTCCAGTGAAAATGATCCATGGTCAGTAGAGCTAAACGATGGTCACGTGGAATGAATAAAGGGCGACGCGCTGAATCTGGCAGGCAATAAGCGGCATCGATTCGACCATTTATGCGGAGGACTCCGAATGCATCTAGCTTTGGTGTTAGCTGAAACAAATGGTGAGTTTTCGGCAGGCATTTTTTATCTCGTAGCAAATCGATTTCTGCTTTGTAGACTTCATTATGTACTTGACGGCATAAATAATTCTCGGCGAACTTCAATTCATCGGGCATAAGCTCACCTTGACGACGCATTTTGGATTTAACATTGTTAATGAAGCGTAAAATCCATGCACATATTCGAAGCAGCTTCGTATATTTCGAACATTTGGAAATGTTCATGACATCGACGAATCTTACTACAAGAACAGCTATCTTTTTACATTCTTCTTCATCGAGAAGCTCGGGGTGTAAGTGTTGCGGTTCTGCGGGCCATGAATCTTCATTGCCGCGTAGAAAATATGGACCTGTTATCCATCGCGAATTTGACGACCATGCTGGTGTTAAATTTACCTTTGTAGCTTCATCTGCCACATTCGCTGCTGACGGAACCCAACGCCATTGGCTTGGCTCGGTGCTTGAGAAGATCTCTGAGATCCGGCTGGCGACGAATTGCTTAAAATCTCTCTTCGTGGAACGGATCTAAAGCAAGACCGTTTTGGAATCACACCAAAACGCCACATGGTGCACACTTCGGTCTAGACACTGCTCCACCGAAATTCGAAGGCGACTGCCCAAAACTGCAGCTTGCAGTTCCAAGCGTGGTATAGTTGTTGATCGCTTAGGGGCACATCTGGACTAAGCTACCAGGAAGGCGAGGGAAATATTGGTTGCTTTCTTCATACGCAGGTAAGAAACTGCGGCATATGCGGCTTCGCTCGCGTCGACAAAGATATGTAGTTGCCACTCATCTGCGATAGAAAAACTTGGAGAAAAACTCCTTGGTACGGAAAAATTTCTAACATTATGAAATGCTTGCCACCATACAAGCCACTGTGACCGCAGATTTGTAGGTAAAGGATCATCCCAGTATTTGCTGTTTCCAGGTTTCTTGCAGTATTAACTTGACTGCAATGGTGACATTGGCAAGTAGACCGACCGGATCATAAATGGCCATGGCAAGCCCCAGCAATACTCGCTTAGTTGGTAAACGCTTACAGTCTAATACGTCTCGTGGTATTTTGTGAAATTTAAAATGGAATTCCAAAACATCATCACTGGAATTCCAGTACATCCCTAACACTTTATCGGTTTTCGGCTGTCGCTCCATGTTGATAATGTCAGGTGTCGTAGGTGTCCCACGATTCAACTGGCTATGTAGTTGCTTGCAGTTAGAGACGAAATTTCTCAAATGAAATCCCGCAGCCGCATTTATAGTGATGGCTTCGTTGACAACTTCACTGGATTCTTGGCTGCTATCGTAACTGGCTACGGATCATCCACGTAGGTGTTTTCGACTATGGCTTTAAAGCCTCGCGGCATTTCTTCTTTGAATCGGTTCGCAATTAAATTCTTAATGTATTCGGCGCAACACGGAGAGCAGGCTGCACCAGAAATCATGGATGGCATCACATACACCTGGATTGGTTGTAACTGGTCTCCATGCCTCCACAAAAAACGTTGTGACTGTCTGTCTTCTGCGCGTATTTTTACTTGAGAGAACATGTCTTGTATGTTCCCGGCGATTGCAATTGGACGTTGGCGAAACTTTGCCATAATCGCCATCAACGATTATGCACGTTCTAGGCCCTTCATCAGTACAGAATTAGAAATATTTGAGACGGATGCTGCTGCGTCGAATACTACGCGCAGCTTCGCAAGCTTATGAGGGTTTACAACACCGAAATGTGGCAAATACCATGATGACGGACCTTCTTGTGATGACTCTTCAGCGGAAAGCAATTGTGCATAACCCCTTTCAACATACTTATTTATTTCTGCGATATAGTTGATGTAACTGTTGTGTTGTTAACTGATTTCGTATGTGAAGAATTTTAGATGTAGAACCACCTGTGTTGTGCGTAGGGCTATAGGCAACCCAACCTAACTTGGTAGTGACGGCGATAGGTTAATTTGGATCAGAGCAAACCATTTATTTGGTGGCACTCAATTAGCTGTTGTCTAGTCCAAGCAATAACGACGGTTTAATTGCGGAATAACTGGCTATCGGTAAATTGCTTAAATGTCTATAATTATTTCGGTCAAAAGATTGCTTTGGTAAATCTAAATGTTTTATCGTATGTATGTACGTTCTTCAACTGGAATGACGTCTTATGATCAACTCCACTTATTTGTAAATTCAGTATACGGGATTGTTCACTCATTTGTTTTGCATTGTACCACTGTAAGGTGAGTGAAGTACTACGGCCTTTGATGCCGAGCTCGTCCGCAATACTTTCCTCGAGGAGTGTTATCGATGACCCTTCGTCGAGCATTGCATAAATCGTAATGCTTGTTCGAGGTCCATTCAATACTACGGACAATATTTTCAACAAACACTCTCTCTGGCTATCGCGGCAATTCAGCAAATGTTCATTGTTGATACTAGGTGGCGATGTAGCCGACTGTGCGGTTGACGAAGGCTTAGTCGAATTTGGTGGTTGATGCAGAAGGGAATGGTTCATGCGCTTGCACTCATCAAGTCCACATTCACGCCTAGATTGACATTCACTTAAACCATGACCTCGTTGAGGGCAACCAAAACACACACGATTTGCCTTTACGAGTTTCCATCTATTATGCACACTTAGCGCCGGTTACTCAATGTCTGGTTAACACTAATCTGCGGTTAAACATCGTTACCGACGTCTTCGACTCCATGCATATAACAGGGAGTCGGTAACGTCGATAACGATGTTTGACCGCAGATTAGTGTTAACCAGACATTGAGTAACCGGCCCTAAGTGCCTTACCGCAGAACTCCTCAGGCAAACACCGATGGCCTAACAACTGTCATTTTGACGAGCAATATGATTGCAAGTTTTTGTGTGTGGGCACTTTGATGTCTTGAAATAAGCATTTGCCGCATGACGCCACCAGACAACATTCTCTCAATTTCGGTGTTTAAAACCATTTAAATCTTTAAAAAAACATGCTGATTAATTTCCTAAAACGTAATCATAAATAATCCAATAGGGAACAGATTTTTATTTTGATTTAATATCAAAATTTCATCGATGTTACCACCAGCACGCTTTCTTTCAAATGAAAATATAGCTGTCAAACTACCAAATTGCCTGCAATAGATGTCCAGCAATAAGCGCTGACATATATTGCAGCCCATGAGAAATAGGCGGTCTCCATTGGAAATATATTTTGTGACATGGTTATCACGACATCAGTGTTCTCCTGTGGAGACAGGGCTTTAAATTCGGGACATACCATTAACCTGCGACTTTGTTTACACTTAACGCAAAATAATTGTTTTTGTTGTCTAGGGTCAGACTCATTGCTATGCAAAACTTTTCGTGTTGCACTTGTAAATGGACGACCTGACGATGGCTGTATGACTGAACGCACAAGGTTTGTTCACGATGGTGGCTGACTGGCACGCTGCGACAACGAAAATACTGACGTCATAATGCTAACAACCTTGGCGAGATCACTCAACCAATTTGAAAATGTTTCTATAGTTGGATGCCCTAACATCCCTGCTGCGCATCGAGTCCACTCAAATTGCTTTTAAGCCGGTAACTCAAGGACTAATTCCCCTAACAACATCGGGTTGAGCAAATATACTCACAATTCGCCGATCTCAAAAAGGCGACAATGTTCCGTACTAGGTTTGAAAAGTCAACAATTTTATCAACACGGCTCTCGACTATTAGAGGAAACTGTTGAATCTTGTGCATCTCCACTCGAACTAGCAATTCTGGGCGCCCAAAATTAAATTGCAATTCCTCAATCACTTGTGACACATTGTCTAGGAAAACTAGTAATGATGAAACGACACGTTTTGCGTTTCCTTGCAACGCTTTATGTAATCTCATTAAATTTTGGCGATCGTTGTATCCAAGGTCTCTCGTTGTGTCATAGTAGCATGCTCTAAACAAAGGCCAATCCTCCGGGTTACCGTCGAAATTGGGCAATGGATATAACTTCACAACTGAACTGTCGACGTATGAAATTATACCTCTCTGTATGTTATTGGGCGGCTGTGGAAAAAACTGTGGTGGTGATTTGGTACTCTGCTGATGAAATTGCGTAGATGTACCTGGATACTGTGCAACTCGATGCGGCTGTGATTCATTAAAATCTCGCATGACATATCGATTTGAAACTGATGTCGGTGTTGTGTAGTTTTCGGCTGCATATGCATTTACTGTGTATTTGCTGTACCAGTGGCAGTTGTGACGGCGACGTCATTTCCTTGAACAGGCTCATTTAACGCACGAACAGCGTTGTTGTTATTGCACATTTTAAGTTCACTACGAATTTGCTTATTATCACGACTCAGCTCACTGACTACTTCTTTCAACAAATGTATGATTGTCAATAACGCTGACATTTGCTCATTCGAAGAACCTTCTGTCTCTGTTTCCATTGTGTTTCCTTCTACCAGTGTTGTGTTTATCTGAAGTTTCTTCACCTATATCTTCTACATTATTTCGTTCCGCATTCTCTGCATTTTCTACGTTCTTCTTTGTCTGATTTCTAGTATGCATTTCGGCAGTTATCTTCAAAAGGCGAAACGACCACTCTTTCTGCAACAGGTCTTATTGGCAAAAGAAAATTATGTATTCTCGAAAATTTGCCTGCAAACGAAGTCTACCTGACTGCTGCTACTAAGGCAGCGAATAATACCTTCGATTGTGATGAAATGATGCTACTCAAACGACGAGTGTGCCTGTGGAGCGTGCCTTCTCTTTTCATCCAATCACAAAACGTATTTGGGCAAAAGAGAAAGCACGCTCCTGATGTTCCCACTCGTTACAATTATAACGTGTTGTCTGTTCTTATAGGTCGGTGTTATGCAGACAAACTTTTGTTTGCCAAATTAAATGGCGGCTGCTTAGCTTGCTCGGAAGTGGTTATGTCGAGTTTGGCACAGGGTTGCACGTTCATTATGGTTTTCATATACATAACGTGCACAATTTAAAATTTGTGTATATGACAACACCGAATTTGCTGCAGTTTGACCAAACAAAATTAGTTTGCTGTGAGAGTCGCCAAACTCGCTCTCTCCGAGTTTGCTGCAACAACAATTGCACGCAGTTTGCCAAACAAAATTTCTGCATAACACCAACCATAGATTTACGTTCTTTGCTGCTACTGAAGCAGCGACGTTGCCTACGATTGTGGCGAATGGTGAAATTGGCTGATGAAACTGACCGCGCTGCTGATGCGACGACTGTTGTCGTTGTTGCTGCTACTGAAGCAGTGACGCTGACTACGATTCTGATGAAAAGATGCTACCGAAGCGACGAGTGGTATTCCAAAAGAACAGTGTCAAGCTAAAGTATGGCTGCCTTTCTGAATATATTGCAATAAAATAAATTTAACCGGCTTTTCAATGCTTATACGAGAAAGCAATTTGGTAAACTTTAATGTCGGAAAAACGAGCGAAATATCGAAATAAATCCTTTGTTTTAACTAGCCTTCGTGGCTATATGAATTTTATTTCACTAGCTCGTTGAGCGATAAATATTGCCTTACAATATATGTATGATGCTTAGAATTTAGTTGAGTTTTAGTTTCATTAATAACAAAATTAGCATGCAAGTACGCGTTAACAAATTAGTGCCTTTTCCACGCTCAACTGAAATTTTGAATTCGTTTTCTTTGGTTGAACGCAGAGTCGTATTTTCGAGTTATGTATGTATCTATCTAATTAACAAAAATAAATATTAAACCGGCTGATTGTCAACGCGCGCAAAAAGATGGGAGTTGGCCATCTTTTCGCTTCGCGCTGCAGCTGAAACAATCTGTGTGAAATGCTTTGTGCATTTTCAAACATTTCACGTTATCTGCCAAAGCGGATCTGTTACGCAACGCGAAGCAAAAGCTTTATCTGGCATCGCCTTATTAGATCGAATAGACTGCCAGATGCGGATAATAAAGCTTAGAATATGAAACTAATGGGCTGTTTTTGCTTACGCGTAAAAGCACATTTTGCGCATTTAGCTCTAAATGCTACTCTAAATGTACATTTATCCATACAAAATTCGTCACCTAAATGCAACTCCATTTTTGCATTAAGAATCTAAATGCTAAAAGCAACCCTGTGATCTTCCAAAATTTCCACGATTCGAACATGGTTTAATGAGAAAAAGTGGCAACATTGCTTTTTCGCGTATACAGTGGCTAGCTGCGTTTCAGTGATCGCCGATCGAGATTTCATTTATTATTTTACATTATTTGGATAAAGAAAATTTACGCCAATTCAACATCGATGTGATGCTGATAGAAATCTGGATCAATTTGTGATCAAATCTGTTTGTTTTGTTTCCTATTTAAGTGAGGAAATTTTAATTGACAGCAACGACAAATGAATATATACACAAACAAATGTTCGGTTATGGTTAAAGCAATTCAAGTTTTTGTATTGAATTTTGGTTTAAAATGTATTTTTTCCTTTTCAGTAGGGTTTTTTGCACATTATCTTCTGCGTGAGAATTGATCGTAATAGATACGGATCTGAATAAGCGACTGGAACACGGCTGTTTGTCAAAAGCATACGATTTCGAACTCCCGTAAATGTACATTTGCTAAATGCGATAGCATGAACGCTCTTCGAAAACATATGTTCGAAAGTGCTAAATGTTGCATTTTAAATGCAGCAAAAACGCTGCATAAAGTTGTCCATGTATAATCTGGGGCCTGGAGGACCATTGTCAATAGTGGTATGGTAATTACTCGATGAAAGACTGCAATCTCTACTCGTTATTTTTCACTCGTTTGTTCCAACCAAGATATCCTGTTTAGAACATGTCGCGGCATCCGTCTTTCACTTGGTGGTCTTCAACGCGTGCACATGTCTTTTTTTAATGTCTATTTGTGGAAGCGCAGTGAGTTATATAAATGGTAATTATCATATAAACAATTTAATTAAAATACATATCGTCATCAATGCAGAGCCTATATTTAGGAAAACTTCAATTTTAAAAAAGCTGTTGTGTATAAGCGAAGTAAGGGTTTGGTTCTTTTTGGCATCGCCAAAATTTAAATATATAGGTACGTTTCCGAACAAGGCTTTGCGTCGATGATATGAAGAATGTACATTTTTAGTGATGATACCAGATGACGAGACTGAGTCTGGTGTTTTATCTCTTACTCCAATGTATTTTTCACTGGACTTTGATACTAAATACTCGACAGAAGATTAATCGGCAAAGCTGAAGAAAATGTAGAACTTGTTATTTTTTTTATTTTTTTTTGCATTGATAATGTAATGTGTAACCATCATTTTGATGCTTTTAGGAAACAAAAATCCGTGCAGCTGCAATCATAATGAGGTCCCTTGAAAGTATATGGCTGTATAGAATGTCCAACTACGTACATACATACATATTTGTACATAGTCTGAGAGAAAATTGAGACTGGAAATGATATCGGTAAGTTTGCTACTACTAATATTTGCCTAAATGCCCATATTTTGTGATGAAGCTTACACAGACCTGTTCTGATGTAAATCTTGATAGACACTTTATTCTCCTGAGATATTAAAACTTTTCTATAATTATTGTACGATTGGAATTAGAAATATAACAAGATATCTTATGGTATTGAAGGTTTCATCATGCTGACTTAAGTGAAAGGGTACCGTCTGACCGTACCAGGCAAAATAGTAAGTATTTCTATATTTAAATAAATTTCATATCTGTTCTGTGATGAAATTGTGCTTCTGAAGCATTTTTGACGATTATACAACATTTCAAGCTCAACAGGCCTGATGGCATTTTTATTGAAAGTAAAAATGGGTATTATTTCCAAAATTTAACCTATTTCTGTATTATAGAATGCTGATAAAATATCTGGAGGGCATTACGCAAACATGAATATTGAAGGTAATCGGTAGAATCTAATTTTCACTGTTTTACAGTCCTATTCTGTATTACGAACGAACTCCCGTCGTGAACGGATCTCACGTCACTAATTCGGGAAAAATGCTATTCGCAATTCCGACGTTTTTGTAGTTAGTGTTTTCAAATATGCGCACTAAGTTCGAATCTGTTTAAAAATTGTTTAAATGGAAATCAGCTGAAATTTGCTTATTTTGTAGGTAGCAATTGACAGAAACTTAAGATTTTTCCTCCGGCAAAGTTTACAATTAAGTATTTAAATAGTAATAGTGGTTTCCATTGCGACATAAGCGTTAATCGTAGAAAAAAGGCAAAGGTGTTTAAAAATATATCGGAAGAATTTCCGGGGTGTTCGCCAACCTTTCAGTTTTGACGATAGGGCATCAGTTGTTGAAAAAAAATGCACTCCCCTATTGCGAGTGTCGACTAGTAGTAGATAAACGAATCATTCGATTATCGCTCATCTTTCTACAACTGTTTGTAGAAGGATGAGCGACTATAAACTATTAACACGCACTTACCAAGCAAACAAAGTTTCAAACGTTTGAGGAAAAATGTATCAAATGTTTTTCTCAAATGATTCTCAAATTGAAAACGAGGTTTAAATTTTACATTTGAAATTCATTTGAGCTTGATTTGAAGAAAGATGTCAAGTATCAAACGTTATAAAAATGCGCAGTTAAATCAAAAATTGTAAGAATAAAATTAAGATCAATTGAAAAAAAAACAATGAATAGAAATAATTTCAAAGAGAAAGCCCACAAATAGTGGATTTGATGTTTTCGCGGATTGAAAAAGCTGCAGCCCTTCAAGACGAATTTATTATAAATTACTTTATCTTAATTGTTTCTTTTGTTATGTACATACATATGTACATCGCGAAGAAAAATAAATATGAAATATACATTTCCTATTATAAATTTTATTTCCACATTTGAAGTACATTTGATAAATAACCTTTGAAATTGATTTGAGAGTTAACCATATTCTCAAATGGAGATCAAACTCCCCTTTTTATTGAGGAAGCTGTAATTTTCAAATCAATATCAAATCATTTTTTGACATTTGATAAAGGCTTTGATTTCAAATCATTCTCAAATGTATATCAAACCTAGTTTGCTGGGTTGAATTCAAATTGGCAGGGGTGGAAATTCACTCGGAAGTGAATTGCAGAACTTGCGCGAAAATCTTTTCTAGTTTTATAAACAACTCGTTTAAATTTAAATTCATTTCAATGTTGCATTAGTAAAGGAAAATATCAACTTAAACGTAATTAATTTTCATGTATACATAAATGAATAAATATATCTTATTTCCTTCAGGACAATTCAAATATTCTATCAATTTCATATCGGTTTAACTCTACCCTTTTATGCAGGCGCATTTCTTCAAAAATTCCTGCTTGAGATCTAGCAAAAGATTCGTTTTGTGGATGGCCTTGATCTGTTGGAAATATATTTTAATTTGTGCACAACTACCATTAATCAACCTTTCTTACATTTTTATTTCCTTCAGTGTAAAATATGCACTTGATTTCTTATTTGGCTTTTTGTTTTTTATATGATTTGGTTGGTCTTAGTTAGGGTGCGTTCAGAATGCATCAAGCCAGAGCATCAGTATCTTTTATTTCTAAACTATAATTGATGGAAATGTCTTATTTACGCGACATAGTTCCAATTCGGCTTATAACCGTGGTTGCGCATATTTGACATTTCTATCAATTATAGTTTAGAAATAAAAGATACTGATGCTCTGGCTTGATGCATTTCTGAACGCAACCTTATTTTATTTTTTCTTCCCATAAACAAAAGGGTTCGTAAAATATTTTCACGAAAAACTGTCAAAATTGCGTTTCACTCGGAATTAATAATGCCAATCTCACGATTTTCGAAATTTGCGGAAGAATTTCGTGATGACGTCGTAATTGATAATAGCATTCCCCTTCGAATCCATAATAGGCCTGTTAATTTATATGATGAGAATACGTAGCATTTCCTTTTGCGGTTTCCACCGGAAGTTTTCTAATGACGGTTAGGACGTCTGATACTTAGTTTAAATGCACTTTAAATTTAAAGGTGAACCATACTTCATAATTTTTTTCTTTTCGCAGATAACATGGTTTGTTTTGCGATCAAAAAGAATGTAAACATCCAGTGATATATCTAATGGCTTTGACACGTATGGTTTTCCAAAATTTAACCTGTTGCTGTTTTATAGAAAGCAGATAAAACACCTGGTGGGCATTACGCACGATATGAATATTGGAGGTAATTGATAAAATATAATTTTAAAGATTTTAATTTACGTATATGATGAGAATATGTAGCATTTCCTTTTGCGGTTTCCACCGGAAGTTTTCTAATGACGGTTAGGACGACTGATATTTAGCATAAATTTAATTCACATTTAAAGGTGAAAACCCCTAATTAATAATAGTTTCTACTCCTAGATAATTGTGTTTCTGATGCGGTAAAAAGAAATTCGAACATCCAGTCCTACATCCAAGGGTTTGGACCCGTATGCGTTTCCAGCCGCAAGACCTAGAAAGCTGACGTAACCAAGGTGTGTATTTTTGCAACCAAATTCGTTACACTCTTACCAGTGTGTTAAACGTGGCAATATTTCCAACTTAAACGCAATCCGCTGTCAAAATGAGAAATAATTTTTCCTTCCCCCCTATTATGAATTTTCATACGGTAGAGGATAAACGCTTGCAATCGTATCGTATGAAATCAGTTCTCGTATTGTTATTTTCATGCGCCTGACAGATGTATTGTAAATGGCTGTGGTTTTCTCCACTTTTTATTAGCTCTGATCCAATACTTTTCGTGTAAAATCCTGTAAAAATGTCAAACAGCAAAATTACTCTCTGAAGTGAGAGTAAAAAGTGAGTAACAACAAAAAGTAGGGGTACAAAAAAAGCATTTTTCCTGAAAAAACGTCAACCAGTGATCGCTTGACACTTTTCACGATTTTACCAGAAGAAAAAGTTCGGGTAAAATCTTGCAACTTCATTCTCTACACAACTCCAAAAATCGCTCTCATTTGCAGGATTTTGGAGTACGGGATCATTTTTCCTGTCTTTCCTGCAAGTTCGTGTAAAAACCTGTAAGTTCATGGAGTACTGGATCAGAGCTATTGTGAACCAGCACAAATCAGCTCAGTAACTATCGGATTTCATACGACAACATCGATTCGTAATATACTACGTTTATGCGACAGAATTCATGAATTCTTCATATCATGAATACAAAAATGGTGCCTTTTATGCATAGTTCGCGAATTCATGAAGTAAAGTGCTTTGAAGTGAACGCACTGGTGAGAAACTAAACAGTAGGGTTGTGACTTTTTTGGTCTCCTTTTTAATTTGCAAAAGCCGTTGGTACCAAGCAATAAACCATATTATATTTAAATTGGTTATAATATATTTTCAATTTATTATATTTGAATTTATTTTATATTGGAACGATTCCAAATAACTTTTCCAGTGTTTTAAATCCTGGTTATGCCACTCATGTTTTTTAATTAAAACCATCATAACCCTAGTAAACAGCTCGTCGCCTAGGTAAAAGATTGTCGTAAGCGCAGTATTCCGATTGGTGTTATCTGTTTAGATATCTCCTTTAGTTTCCGAGATATTGACAACTTTTCGATAATTTATTAAAAATTTAGTTAGTGATGCAGTCATTTTAACTAATCAATATCTTAAAAATGGCGTTCTCCATTTTTGAATATCTCCTATAGTTTCCGAGATATTGAGTAAAAAGTGTCCTTAATTTGGTAGAAATTTTGATCACATTTTGTCGTATTTCATACAAAGTGGCTGCCAATTTGTGGACAAATGACGCTTACGACAAAATTTTACTAAGGAAAATCCTTCATAAACTCAAAACTAATTAACAATAAACATTAAAAATTAAATAACTTAAGAATTTTGTGAACTAGTAACATTTTCAGAGACTTTGGAGAAAATCTATCTTCGCGTTTTTGAGAAATTGTATTCCAAACTTCAATCGCGATTTCCCACAACCTACCGAAATTAACATACGACAATCTTTTACCCAGGCGATGGACTGTTTGTGAAACGTGGCGTTGCCGGACGTGCACTACTCGATTTCATGAAATGGTGACGAGTTCATGGTTAACTTTGGTGTATAAATGGTGTTTATGCAGCCAATCTTAATAATAAACTACGTTTTTGCGTAGGCAAATTCACGAAATCATTTCATGAATATGGGCTAAAATTGGCAGCATAAACACAATATCATGAATATCAACTATACACGAAAATTAGCCATGAATTGGGGCACCATTTCATGAAATCGGGAAGTGGAAGTCTGGCAAGGCCACGTTTAACAAGCAAACAGCTGCTTACTAGGGTTATGAAGTTTTTAGATCAAAAGCTTGTAGTGGCATAACCATGACTTATGCCACTGGAAAAGTTACGTGGATTTGTTGTAATAGTAAAGAAGTTCAAATGCACTAAAACAAATTTAAATATAACATGGACCATTTCCTGGTGTCAACGCCATTTGCAAATTCAAAAAACTTTTTCAAAACACTTCATTGCATGTATTCGCGAGTTATGCATAAACGGAACAATTTTTGAATTTATGAAATGAAGAATTCGTGAATTCCGCCGCATAAACGTAGTATTTGATAATAACAGAATGCAAGCGTTTATAGTGTATCGTACGAATTCATAATAGGGAGTTTTTATTTCCATGTGAACAGCCAGAAAGACCGTTCTGCCACTTTTCGGAAACCACTTTCAGAAATTAAAGTTGTATGGCGTGAGTGCAACTGAAAGAGCGCAAATCGATTCGGGAATATATCGTCGCTTGGCGCGCAATACCTCGTATATGCCAAATGCAATACCACGTATGAGAGCGAAAACAAATTATTTTCGGCACCCAGTTGGTGTAGCAGCATACAAATTCTCCAAAGACATTTTGGGGAGTGCTGCTGGAGTGACAGTCCTTGGCCAGATATAAATCTGGGTTGTTCCGGTTACGTAGACCCTGTCCCAGTGCTTGCCTACTTCAGAAATTTGATAGTCAATAATTTTAGTAAAAGCTCCTATTTAATAAGTTCAGTTAGAAAACCATTCAAAAGTTTAGAAAAAAATAAGTTTATTTGCACTTTTTTTAAATTTTCGGACTGTGGCATACGTGGTATTGCATTTTGTGTATACGAGGTTATTGCACGCCAAGCGATGATATTTCAGCTTGCTCGTGCTGCAGTAGCAATTTTTATTTATGCTGCAAGTTCTGTTAAACTAATAGAGTGCTGCCGTGTGACGGTGATCGCGAGTAATTGTAATTGTAATTTATTTCAGTCATATGACACAGACGTTCCTTACAGACTAGATACAGAAATTAGGTACACAAACGATACGTGTAAAACATTAAGCACTCTACAGTTTCGAGATCAAAGACAAAATAAATAAACTTTTTGAAAGGGAAAAAGCATGTTCGATAGAATTCGAGATTGTATTGAATTCATTCTTGAAATAAGAGCGTTTCTGGCATACTTCGTTTTACAATTTCCTCCATTAAAAGGCATAGGATTGCCAATAATCCTTTGAGGAACATTGAAATTGACCTGAGGGTCGGGCAATCGATCACACCATTTATTAAATTAAGTGTCATATTCTGGGCTACCGCTGAATCCATCTTAGTCCGATTTTCGTGTAATCTACGAAAATGCGATCATTGAATCCGAATCGCTACGAACATATGCATCCAAAGTAGCTTTTCGGATTCAGTGATTGCATTTTCGTGGATTTTAGGAAAATCTTAATACGATGGATTCAGTGATAACGCACAATTAAAAAAAGATATGTTTTTAATTGTTTAGTTATAAATAAGAAAATAATATTCAAATAGGAAATAAAGTTAATTATAAACAAGAGGAACAACAAACGAACGGTAAAGCGGCTCACGGTTGCATTTTATTATCGAGAAAGATTACCAGAAATTCATTCACTGTGTGAACAGCCAAAAAGCTCCCAGAAAATTTTCGCCTTTGAAGTAAAAAAAAAACCGCTCATGCAACTTCTTTCTGAAATATGTATATCAATTTGGCAGCATTTTCCAAATATATTGCATTGCCACGTCTGACAAACTATATGATGAAAATCTATAGCTTTTCCTTTTGCGGTTTCCACCAGAAGTTCGCTAATGATGGCTAGGATTGTCTGAATCATATAAATTATGTTAGCATTCACGATATTATATACGTATCTTTTAATTCGGAATTTTCTTTTGTTTTAGGTGTCGGATAAGAAAATATGTTTTAATAAAAATTAATAAAATCGAATACTGGTGTTTTATTTGAATTTTCTTTTTAACCCGTCTGGGAGATACTTTGTCCACATCAGGCAATAATTAAAGGTTTGCTCATTAGTGACATTCGAGTTTTGACACTCCCTTAACTCCCTTAAAATATAAACAGACGGCAGCGTTGATCCGGATCAACTCGGGAAGAATTAACTGCAGTTGATCCGGATTAAGTCGCGAGTTAATCCGGATCAACGCTGCCATCTGTTTTGGCTTTTACAAAGGGTTGCACGCACTAAGGCCCGATTTTGTCAGGAGGGCGAGAAAACTTCTGAGCAAACCTTTTATTATTGAATCATGCTTTGTCCACACATGTATGGATATCGGCGGGTTTCAAAGGTTATGCAGGGTTCAGGAGGAATTTTTTTTGTCGGAAATCTTGTTTGTTGCTGCATCGGACGGATGCCATCCGCACAGATCTAATCCTACACAGTCGCTTGTTTCGACTGCATATCGGAGTGAAAGGTTGCCAAGTTGGACAAGCAGAACTCCATACGATCCAGAAGCGACCCTATGAGGAATATCGTCATAGCATAGTAAAATGGCTGACGATGACCGTATCGTCACTTAAGCTGAAATCAGTCAAGAACGTAAACCCGAGTCAGCTGACACGATCTGTTTTCCCAGAGCGCCATGTAAATGAAAACTCAACACCTCAGACTTTTTCTGTAGTTGTAGCCCGTAGCGCAGAAAGCTGAAATTAGTCAAGAACGTAAACATACCGGTATAGCTTGATATACAGTTCAATGCGTGCGTGAACGTGAACGTTCGCAAAGGCAAAGAATTCCATTTGTATTCTAACTGCCATACCTAAACAAAATCGTTGGGCGGAACGGTTTCAGACGCCTAGCGTTAGCGCCGAAGTGCCATACCTAAACAAAAGCGTCAACGCTACGTCAAATGCAGAAATAACACCAACAATAAGCATAGGTTTGTTTGTGTGTAACACAAAAATGACAGTTTCGCCGTTTTCTGCAGCCAACTTTAATACCTAACGCCCTGTCAAAATCGGAATTTCTAACCGCTCGGCGTTGACGCCGCGTTGTTTCGGTATGCTTCATACAAATTGTATGGGCATGAGAATTTTTTGACAGCGAGACAACACTGACGCTTTTGTTTAAGTATGGTAGTTAAGGCCCGTCCACATACAACTTTGGCGTTGCGTTGGCGCTGGCGTCGCTTTGACAGCGGCGCGCGTAACGCCCGTGCTTGCTACAATGAACGCTTAGCACAGAATACTTTGGTCACTAAATTAACATACTAGCGGCTGATAAATCAAAATTTTTACATCAATAATTGCATTAAAAACTATATTTCTTGCCCGCATTTGATTAAAAATTAAAATTAAATCACATAATTTTGATTATTTAGAACAGCTGACGAACGACGCGCGCGAAAAGTTGAGAGTTGGCCATCTTTCTGCGTTGTGTTGGCGTTGGCGTTGCCCAACTTTGGTTATATGGAGACTTTCATATAAATACATGTATTCATAGTCAGCTGTCGAAGCGACGCCAACGCCAACGCAACGCCAAAGTTGTATGTAAACGGGCCTATATAGACGCTCACACACATCTGTCAAAACTGGGCGTTCACATGCGAATGCTTTGCGTACGCACACAGTTGAGTGTGAGCTCGAAAAAAGGCATATGCATTTTAAATTATTTTTTATTCTATAATTCTGAGATATTTTAATTCTCTATCTTTTCATGTCTCAACTATAGCAAAACGTTGAGTAATAACGAAGATATTGGTCAAAATAAAAAGCTCACGCTCGCATTGAACTGTATATCAGGCTTACGTAAACCCGAGTCAGCTGACACGATCTGTCTTACCAAAGCGCCATGTAAATGAAAACTCAACACCGCAGAATTTTTCTGTAGTTGTAGCCCGTAGCGCAGAAATCTGCGGAATTTAGATTTTTCCGTGTCAGCTGATTTCTTCCTTCTATAGATGGTTGCCACTTCGACAGTTTTGCAGATATTAAAAAAGTTATAAGTTCCTATACAACTCGGGTTTACGTACCGGTAGGTTTAAGTTCTTGACTAATTTCAGCTTAAGAATATTGACTTGCAAGTATAAAAACTATTTCTTGCCCGTTTATTTCCCAAAAGTCGACTCGGCGCCAGTGAGTCATTCGAAATCGTATGCTACGAATGCCGCATTATGGGTGTGTTCAGAAATGCATCAAGCCAAAGTCAGACGCTTTTATTTCTAAACTATAATTGATGGAAATGGCCAATATGCGCCTATTTGGAACGTAATTGCGTAAATAAGGCATTTCCATCAGTTATAATTTAGAAGCAAAAGAGACTGATGCTTTGGCTTTGTGGATTTCTGAACGCACCATACGAACACAGAAATTAGCTCAATCAAAATTTCCGCGGAAACCAAAAAATGCAGCTGCCAATATATCAACCCAGTTGCCATCTGTAATACCATTTCAGCCAATGGCCACCCAACTGAAGTTCGGTTGTCATCCGCAATCGACCCATAAAATTCGCATTACGTATGGCACTGACCAAGGCGAATTAATATAAGGTGATAGCAGGAGTACAAAAACAAAAATTTACATGTATTTTGTTTTTGCTTTGGCGGCATAAACTGTCAAAATCTGTAAGAGTATGTGTAGAATTCAAACAAAATTTTTCAATTTGATATCAGAAGCCGTGCGGCCATATATGTAATACTCCTATATTGGCAGTAAGAGCTAGTACCGTCCCAAAATACTACAGTACAGATATATCAATAAACACGTACGAAAGAAAAGGAACACATCCCTGGAGCGGAAATACTAGTACAGAACTAGTGAGTTCACCAGTTTTCGGGAGTCGAATACCGGTACCTTGCAAATCTACCAGCCATGCTTTCTACTGTCGCATTTAACATGGAGTTGTCCTAGGAGGTGACAATTGACTCCCGCTGCGTAACTTTTCACTAGTACTTGTAGTAGTAACATGTAACCTGTAACCGAACCACTTTTTTTCGTTGTGCACTTCACAGATACTTTTTTAAAATTAAAAAAAACGAAAGTAAAGATTTTAAATTGTATGTTCTGCATAGTGAGATTTGAACTCGGAACACTTTCGGCCGGAACTAATTCAACCAGCATCTTTGCGAACTCAGCTTTCAAATGTTCGCTTTGAATCAAGCCAGGCGACGATTTGTTCAAATTTAAATTTGTCTTTGCTATTGTCTTTGCTATTTATTTTCCTGTGATCGAACGTACGAAAGCTGCAGCGTGACGTTGTTTGAAATTTTATTATTGGGCTGAACTGATTCTTGATAATTTTAACAAAATTGTCATTTAATCGCGCTATATCTCAGTCGTTTGTGTATCGATCGATTTGAAATTTTCACACAATAAACTACAAACTATTCCAAAGAATTTAAGTTTAACACCACTTCTTAATACTTACTACAAATAAAACTACACGTTTATAACTTTTTTATGAGAATTAAGAGGGTGTTTGTTTTCAAATGCAAAAGTTGTGTTATAAAATTTGAAATAAATTTTTTGTTTTAAAACAGTGTTGTAGATGACTATGTAGGGAAGTTTTTTGCGAAAGTTTCAAAATTAAACATCAAGTAGTTGCAAAGTTAGAACAATATTATTATGACTCACACGGTTAGCAGATTAGCGCGCTGCGCTCTAAAAGCCTTTATAACTCAGAAAAGTAAAAAAGTCCGTTTTTATTAGTGATTTATATGTAAAAAGACTTGATCTTTCGATTGAGATAACTAAAAACAATATTAAAAATTACCATAGTTCAGAAAAATTACAAATAAATTTTCGTTCAGAATTTTCACTATGAAAACGGGAAAATTTTGGAAAACGCATAGTGCCATCGCATAGCCCATATAAAAATCTATAGAAATCATAGTTTTCGAATTAGTTTTCCTATTTTCTGTCTGCTTCGCAGCTAGTCGAAAAGTAGCTTGTTTTGCACCGCTCAGGGCGCTGGGACATTTGACGTAAATTGCCCCCAAAATAATTTAAGAAATAGTAGTTATGTAAAAAGGGGTATCTACATATGTATGTATTGCTTTATTTTGGTACTTATCAGTCCGATATTTGCTAGGTGGTCACACGAGGGAAACAGAACATAGATAAGTATTCAAAATTTATTATTTGTATTTAAATGATAAATAACAAAATGCTTTATGTAATAAGGGAGCACTATTATATTAAAACGGCCAATAACCTTTAGAAAGTGCAATATGTAACCAATAGCTCGATTTATTATTACCTGGAGCATAACATGCAATTGGAACTAGTAATGTAACTAGTACGAAAGCGACAATTGTCTCCGAACCCGCTGCAGGGATACGTTTATAAATAAACATGTACACGACACATTTACAAAAACGGCACTCAAGTACACAATACATTGACAAAAACAGTACTAGACTGTCTCGCTTTGATTTCGGAATGCATTGAGATGTTAGCTTACTACCAATATAGAAGTATTACATATATGCGTGCGGTGAAACACATACACCCAGTGTTACCAACCTCAGAAAGTTTCCCCCCAAATATTTTTCAAAACCCCCTAAAATTAGCCTAAAATCAACAAAAATGCCCTAAAAAACACATTTGATTAGCGCATAGAAAAATCCATTTATTAAACAATATAATATAATATTATATACATATGTACATATACTGCAATTGAACGACTTGAGTTTTTCTACTTATAAATATGTATGTACATACTTAAAGCACATTAATTTCTAACTCTTTTAAAATTTCAAACAAGTCGTCAGCTTCTCGTTGATCATCTGCGTTATTATTTTTGAAATCGTACATTTTTACATTGAATAATTTCAGCATTTTAGAAGACGGATTAAATTTAACACATGAACCGCAGTCTCTCTGTAAGCTGAATCTTACCATCATTAAACTCTGGAGCAAATCAAGAGATAATCTATTCCTCAATTTATTTTTAACGATACCATAAGTCGAAAATGCACGTTC